AAGCTACAATATTTGAGTCAAATTTCGATAGGACATTGCAACATGTGAGGCTGTACAGGTAGTAATTCACATTGAGAAACATCAAAAGTAGTCACATGTGAAGAAATATGTAGGAAGTTTAACATCAAACCCTTACATAAGGACAGCTTACCAACTCACAAGAGTTATATGATCAGAGATGTAGTCTTAATAAATGATCAGTGCCAGCAGTTAGTTAACTTGTTCACAGAATACCATGACACCTTCTCCAGTGGACCACATGACTTAGACAAAATGAATAATATATCTCAAAAGATTGATACTGAGGATGCAGCCCTAATAAGTCAGTTAGCCAGATGTCTTTCACCTGCAAAATAGACTGAGGCTTTCAAAGAGATAGAAGCCATGAAGGAACAGGAAGTGACAGAACTGAGTACTAGTTCTTGAGCATCACCTATTTTACTTATGAAGAAGAAGGATGAATCCACAACATTCTGTATGGAATATCGGAAGGCGAATATAGTTACAAAGAAGGATGTGTACTCAGTGCTGAGGATTGAGTTTAACTTTGATGCTCTGTCAAAATTGTTTTCAACATTGCATCTTAAGAGTGGTTATTGGTAACTGAAAATAGACAAAGCAAGTAGATAGGAGACAGTTTTTACCACAGGAAATGGATTATGGTAATTTATTGTGTTACCATTTGCATTCTTTAATACTCCTAGTACATTGCAATGACCAATGGAGTATGCTCTGTCTGAACTACCCTGGAACATTGTACTTACCTACTTGAATGACTTAATTGCACATGGGAAAATCTGTGATAATGCTTATAAAGCGATAAAGAAGGTTGTGGATTGATTAAGGAAAGAGAACATTAAGCTGAACTTAAATAAGTGTGAATTATCCCACTAGGTTAATTTCACTAGACAAGTAGTCAGCAGAGAAGGAATGCCTTCAGATTGATTAAAGACTGACTCTAGCTAGAGTTGGACAACACCAATGAACCTGCATGAAGTAAGAGGACTTCTGGGTCTGTGGAGTTACTATCATCATTTCGTAAAATCTTTTCCTGATGCGGATCATCCTTACATAAACTACTCGAGAAACCATAAAAGTTTTGTAGGACTGCTGATTGTGAACAAGCATTCAACAAACTCAAGAAAGAATTGATCACTACTTCTGAATTGGCATGCCCAGGAGTAGAAGATCCACTCATTGAGATATGTATGTCAGTGATATTGCAGTGAGAACAGTTCTGTCACAATAACAACTCAGAAAAAATATGTAGTTGCCCACTACAGAAAGACAATGAATTCCACAGAAAGGAAGTATTCTATAATTTGAAAGTAACTACTGAGTGTTGTTTAAGCTATAAGTTACTTCCATAATTATATATATGCGAGAACAGATACATCATGGTTGGCATGGGCTATTCGACCAAATGGACAAAAATATATGCTATCCCTAACCAGGAAGCAGAAAATCTTGCAAATAAACTTGTCAATAAAGTGATTTTATGATTTGGTGTGCCCCTGGAACTTCACTCGGATCAGGGTACAGAACTTTGAATCAGACTTTTCAGTCCAAATAGCCATATGTTTAAATGAACATCATAAAATTTAAAGCAGTACTTGAAGCTACCAGTAATGCACCATCATCACTGATGGTTCAGGAAAAAGTGCCATTAGACATTCTGTACTCTCGTCCAGACAACAGTTGCTCACTAAAGTCTTAAGGATATTAAGAAACATCATCAATGAAACATGACCTTACCTGAGAAAAACGTAAATCAGTTAGTGATAATATGAAATGTCACTATGATATTAATGCTGAAAAGACTGTGTTTCATTGAGGTGACACAGTATATCTTTATAGTTCCCACCACAAGAAAGGATGAAATTAAATTTTTAAGCAGGTGCTTGGAGGGGTCATACAGTATGCTGAAAAGAATCATTGACATGTTTTACTGAATCCAGAAGGATAGTCAATCCAAGTCAAAGGTCATCCTTCCTGATTGTCTTTGGAAACATGTCAGTGAGAGAACAGCCAACTGGGTAACTTTAAAGAGAACGTGTCAACAAAAACCCAGAGTTCCTGTCGAGGTTTCTTCCAGAGGATCATCAACATTAAAGCCACCAGTGTATTCATCTGAAAACCTATCTAGGGAGAATTCTCTCAGTGACAAGACACCATCTCATCCACATACTATGTTACTTAGAAGACTATCCAAAAAGACTTGGTGAATAGACAGTTTATTGTAGTTTTACTAATATTATTATTTAGTATTAGAAATGTTCAAGTGACTTCAAAGTCTGGGAAGAGTGCAGTGATGTAAGCTATATTTTTAATGTATTTTCTAAGTTTGTAGTAGTAAAATGCCTTGAATGTGACGTCCAATTTTTAAAAGTATATTCGAATATTTATTATAAATAAAAAGTGTCATGGGGTTACTACGAAAGTGCAGAGTGATTTTTGGGACCAAAAGTAAACTAGTCATTGTTAGAGTTACTTTGTAAAAAGTAAGTTGATTTATTTTACGTTAGTTAACGTCATTTGTAAGCCTATGTTGCGTCATCGAGATCACGTGACAATTCTCACGCCCTCTTGTTTCTAGA